TCCTCAGAGTTTGACAGATGCTGGTGTCTGTAAATATTAGAATTATTGCTGAGTCAGCAGTCTGGTTCAGAATTTTCCTTCAGAAAACTGTCAGTATTTTGACCTGTTAATGTTTAAAGAAGCTGATCTCATCCAGGAGGTAAGTTCTGTGACTTTTAAAGATTTTGAAATGTTTTCATTGAATGGATTAAAATTTTTAGCCAATTTTACCTTTTAGTTAAAACTATTCTAATTTTGGTCTATAAATGCTGTTGACCTAATATTAGTTTTTAGACTAGAATAAAATAGACTTCATTATCTTTGCGTTACGGTATAAAATTTAGATTGTTTCTGCAACAAAGAAATCTAATTTTTGCTTTCAACTACTATTTTGCTCGGTTTAATTTTTAGCCACAGTTTTTGTTGTTTTGGCGTTTTGTCTACCGTTTAGTTGTAAGTTTCTGTAAATTCCTTCAGCACACAGTAATCAGCTTTCTGTCGTTACACAGGGTCACGGTGTTGACATTTATTCAGTGTCAGAGTTGGTTTCAGCAGTTCTTTTGTGGTTCTTCAGAACCATCACATAACCCTGTGTGTTATATGATGGTACTAAAGGCTGGACCTGCTCTGTGTTGTGTCACACTGACTCAGTCTAATATATAATGTTATTGTCACTGAGCTCTTTCTTCCTCTCTGTGGTGAAGAAACAAACCTCCTCCCAGGAGCAGCAGAGTACTGATACATGAACAGGTTGGTGGAGTTTGTTGCCTTGGGCCGACAGGTAGAACCACAGGTTGAACAACAGGTTTGTGACGTTTTATCTCACTTGACAGTATCAAGTCAAACACAGCAGGAGCAGGTTATGTTCGAGGCTGTGTCGCTGCTCCCATGGTTCTGACAGCTTAAAGGTGTTTGTTCTCAGAAAGGCGAGTCAACTCACAGCCAGGAGGGGCCACAAAGGTAGATAGGTGAGTTTTTAGAGGTACATCCTCGGCATACTGAGCAGAAGAGTTGTTTGTTTCCTCAGAGGCTCTTCCTTGTTTCTGCTGCAGTTCTTTGCTTCGATGGCAGCCCTGTGGGTGTGGATCATTCTGCTGTCTCTGCTGCAGTTGGTCCACTACACTGTCACCTATAGACAGGTTCCAGGTAAACCACACCTCTTCTTAGAAGTTCTCACTAACATGAACAGCACTAAGTACAAAGCAATGGTTATTTGACTTGTCTTTAGTCAGGGAATGTTGCCTTCGAGCTGYGAAACTGAAATATTGGGACACCACATTCACTACCAGGTGTTTGTCCTGTGATGAAAACATCAATCTGAGTTAAAGGATCAGAAAAATCTCCTCCCTGTGCTGTTGACAMATTAGTATCAATCTTTGAAGGAATGTTTATCACTTGTTGCCCCTCATGTCAGAGCTTYGGACCAACATCATGTAAAGAAAGGACATGTAGACATAAGGAGAACAGATTGAGTTACAGTCTTTATGGTGCGGACTAGCTGTGATACACACAAACATGCACATTCAGGGGCTGGTTTTTGGTGGTGGAGAAAATCATGTGGTCTTCACCAGTAGTGTTGTAGTACTTGAAATAGGTCTTGGTCACGTTTGTATTTGRTCTCGTCTCGGACATTGAGGTCTCAGAATTTTATTTTGAGACCACAACTATGGAAATATCACTAAATAGCCAGATTATTGTCCAGTTTATTTGTTAAAATCATTGCTTTCATTGGATTTAAAATATACCGATTCAATCCAAACCTGACTCATTGCTATTTATGTATTTTTGTTTCTGGCTGTCACCCATCCCCACCCCACCCCTTTCACTCGCATGCAGCACTCCAGAAAAGTGAGCAGTGGTTCTCAGGTAGCAGGAAAAGATATCTGCAAGATCTTCAGTAATACAGTTCAGCTACATAAATCATAAATAATAGATTTGTAAAGAAAACRTTGAGGAAAAAGCATACAGCTTCCAATTTCTGCAGTGCTTCACTTTCAGAGTGGGGATTACGTCAAACTTTTATYRTCATGTACGTYAACAATCTGCCTCTKTAGCAAAATTCTTTCCTCTGCCCTCACACTWAGATTTTGYCAGTATTAGCTCCATATATTAAGTTAGCTACATGTGTACAAAATACTCTATCTTTTAGGGAGCTATATTTTTATTATYTTTTTTCTTTCTGGTTTTGGTCTTGGACTTGTCTTGGTTTCGAGAGATTGGTCTTGACTTGCCTTGGGTTAGGTGGTCTTGACTACAACACTATTCACCAGGTTTAAAAAYGATTCAAATTTAACCTAAAGAGGACAGAACACAACAGATCCCATTGTGTTGATATTTATTTAAAAAAAGTTTAAATGAAAAACAAAGTCTGAACTAACAGATTGTGCGTCAGAASTTCATGGTCTAAAAAAACTGGACCAGAAAAGAAAATCTTGTCCTGACCTCATAAATGTTCTTCAGATTCAGAATGAATAAAACACTTAAAAACCTCATGGAAGACCCTYAACACTGTTTTGGGGGAATTTATTGACATKCTGACYAGAGAGTCCRGTGGATRGAGTTCAGGTCTGGACTCTGTGGGTCACCCCAGACCTGTTGAACCCTGATCCTCAGCCATGTTGGAGTAGAAGAGAGATTTCTCTAGAGTGCTCCCACTATATTGGAGATCTGACTAAAAGTTCAGATTTCAACAGTGAACAGGTGTGTGCAAATACTTTTTTCCATATGGTATAACATCTTTTCAATAATATTATAATTAGTAACTGCAGACAAAAGAGGGAGTTTTCCTTCTTGGCTGCTGAGAATGGAGTAATAACTTTAACCACTGGTTCTTCACAGAGTTCTGTCCTCAAGGGTTATTAAAATCATTTAGTCAAACTTTGGAAATAGACTTCTGTGTTCTTGTCAAAGAATTTTCTTATCAGAGTCCCAAAGCACTGGTTGGAGTGGAACTACTTCTTGTACTGTTACAGAGAAACGATCATGAAATATCCAATTTAGACATTTCTAAAGTGTGCTGCTTAGCTTAGCTTTAAGAGTTAGATTTTAAATGTCTGATTAAATTGTTTTTATTGATTGTAGCTCCATCACTGCCATGAGAAAAATCCCAAGAGGAAACTTTTCAAGAAGCTACAACAGAAAGTAGGTCTGATAGGAACGCCAGGCAGAAAAGCTCTTCAGAAAGACTTTTAACTCACACCTCCTGGAGAAATTTAACCACATCCCAGCTGACATTGAGTCAGAGTGGGCCATGTTGTCAAGGCAGCTGCTTTGATYGGTGGCCTCAAGGTTGTTGGTACTCACGGTGGACATCCTTGAACTCAGCGGTGGACACCCTAGGGTGGCTGTCAAGCTGACGGAGTCCTATCAGGTATTGTTGACTGGTAGGACTCTRGGGGCAGTTGAGGAGTATCAGTACGCCAAGCAACTGTCCTGGCTGTTGCTGAGGCAATGGCTTAGGTGTAGGAGGTGTTYGTTGAGGTCTAAGATAAGGACTCTCAATCTGCTTTGATGGAATTCTGGCAAAATATCAGGCAACTAAGGCAGGGGAAGCAGCACTTCACTGTTTTCAGTGAAGGTGAGGTTCTGTTGATCTCAACCAGTGATGTCAGGAGGTATAAGGAATACTTCTCAGACCTCCTCGATGCCACCAGCATGTCTTCTATGGAGGAAGCAGAGTCCTAGGACTTAAGGGTTGGTCTGTCAATAACTGGAGCTGAAGTCTCTGAGGTAGTTAAAAAGCTCTTGGGGACAGAGCTCCAGAGTTGGACAAGATCCTCCCTGGTTTCCTTAAGGCTCTGAATGTTGTGGGGCTGTCTATGTTTTGCAACATCATGTGGACATTGGGTGCAGTGCCACTGGATTGGTGGTTCCCTTCTTCAATAAGGGGGACTGGAGGGCGTGTTCCAGTTACAGGGGCGTCCCTCTTCTTAGCCTTCCAAGTAAGGTCTATTCAGTGGTACTGAAGAAGACAGTTTGATCAATGGTCAAACCACAGATTCAGGAGGGACAATGCAGGTTCTGTCCTGGCCGTGGAAATGTGAACCAGCTCTTCCCCCTCACTAGGGTCCTTGAGAGGCCATGGGAGTTTGCCCATCTAGTCTACACGTGTTTTGTGTACTTGGAGAAGGAATTCGACCGTGTTCCTCAAGGTTGTTTTGTGAGGGCTGCTCCGTGAGTATGGGATTGTGGATCCATTGTTACAGGCCATTCAGTCCCTGTACAAGCGGTGCAAGAGTTTGATTCACATTGCTGGCTATTAGTCAGACCCCTTCAGGCTGGGAGTTGGACTTACACCGGGGTCACCTAATTTGTTCATAACTTTTATGGACAGTATTTCTTCGTGCAGCCAGTGGGCAGAGGAAGTCTGGTTCAGTGACTTCAGGGTTCCATGTTTGCTATTTTCAGATGATGTGGTCCTGTTGGTGTCTTCATGCCATGATTTTCAGCTCTCACAGGAACAGTTTGCAGCCAAGTATGAAGCAACTGGGATGAGGATCAGCACCTCCAAATCTGACTCTATGGTTCTCAATCGGAAAAGGGTGGATTGCTGTCTCTGGGTTGAGGGTAAAGTTCTACATCAAGTGGAGGAGTTCAAGTATCTTGGGCGTTTGTTTATGAGTAAGGGAAGAATGGTAAATGGTACTGAACTTATAGAGCGCTTTTCAAGTCCCTCCAGACCCCAAAGCGCTTTACACTAACAGACATTCACCCATTCACACTCACATTCACACACTGATGAAGAATAGAGATTGAGATTGATGGACGGATCAGTGCAGCTTCTGCAGTATGAAACTCAGCTGTAAAGCAAAGCTCTCTGTTTACCAGAATGGTCTACTGTAACTTCCTACCCTCACCTATAGCCACAAAGTGTGGGTAGTAACTGAAAGAAAAAATCACGAATAGGAAATGGAGTGTATTCAGATGTACCTTGGTCCCAGATTTTAAAGTTTGACTTACTGTTTTTCTTCTCTGCCTTGACTCATTCAGGAGAGCCAGTGTTATTGAACCAGCAGTCAGCAACCTCCTTTCTGTCCCGCAAGCTGCTGGCAAACAACTGGGACTTTGAGCTGGTGGTGAAAGACAACCTGGAGAGGGAGTGTATTGAAGAAGTGTGCAACTATGAGGAGGCTAGAGAGTGTTTTGAGGATGATGCTAAAACGGTAAGTAGACTGAAATCCGTAATTTCTAAACTTTCCTAGGTAGAGAAATGTTATGTTTTGAAAAAAACTTTCAGATTATGTTCTTAGAGTCTCTTCATAGAATGTTCTCCAGTCTCTCTCTCTCTCTCTCTCTCTCTCTCACACACACACACACACACACACACACACACACACACACACA